TCCTGGGCCTGGAGTGAGGAAGACTCGCCATCCTGAGTTCACATTTGGCCTCACTTACTAGTGACCCTGGGCAAGTCACTTAACACTGTTTGCCTCAGTTCCTCATCTGTAAAACAAGCTGGGAAAGGAAATGGCAAACCATTCCAGTATCTTTGCCAAGAAAACCCCAAATGGAGTCATGGAGAGTCAGATATGACTGAAAAATGACTTAACGACAACAAACACGCCAAATACCATATTAGGCACTGGAAATACAAATATAATGAATGAGATAATCACCATTTGCAAGGAGCTTACATCCTAAGAGGGGATGAAATGTAAACATAAATGTAAATGTAAAGCAGGTAACTAGGTGAGTTCGGACACCAGCAGTTAGAGGGAATTGGAAAAACCTTCATATAAAAGATTGTGCTTGAGTTGTGTCATGAAGGAAGAGAGGGACCCTATCAGGCTGAGATAAAAGAGGGAATACATACCTGGAATGGGAGACAGCCAGCTACAGCAAAAGCCTGGAGATAAGAGATGGGAGTGTTGCATGTGGGAAACAGAGAGAAGGGCAATTTGACTGGATCGAAGAAGAGGAACGAATAAAAGGATGGGAAGATAAGTTAGAACAAGGCTGTGAAAGGCTTTAAAAATTAAACAGAGGTATTACTATTTCATCTTGGACACTATGCTCCTCTTAATGTCATCTAACATCACATCAGTTTTTTGGATGCTGACATCACACATTGTTGACTCACACTGAGTTTGTATTCTACTGAAGTCCCAGGTCTTTTCAACATAGAATGATACCTAACTTTGTCTTTTCTGTACTATATGAGTGTAACTGATTGGTTGAAACTGCAGGACTATAAATACATTCTTCTCTATTAAATATTTAGTTAGTTCTGGCCCATCATTATAGCTTGTCAAGACGGCTCATGATCCAGTCACCATCCCTCTGAGTTTCATTCATCTACAAATCTGCTGTGTACTGGCATCTGTATCCTCAGCTAAGTAATGGCTAAAAATTCACAATAAGACAGAGTCCTATAGCTTGTCATTAGGAACCTAACTCCAGGCTGACATAGATCCATTAATCAAATTTCTTTGGGTACAGTCATCCAACCAGTTTTAAATCCACCTAACCATGTCACCTGTATTTCTCTATCTTGTCCACAAAGATAATTTTGTGGATATTGATACCTTGTTGAAATTCAGATACACAACACATTTACATTTCCCTTATCTACCTGTGCAGTGATTTTCTTTTAAAAAAAAAAAAGTTAACTTGGTATGACTTCTTAGTGAACCCATGCTGGCTTTTATGATCAAGATTTAACTTTTTCAATGCTGATAAAATTCTATAATGGGTTATTAAACATTGTTTATCAGCAATGAACATCAAGTTCACCAGTCTAGAATGTTAACAGAGATTTTTAAACAAGTGTGCTAGAATAACAGCAATTTAGTACAGAGTCCACACATTCAGGTACAATTTTATTGCAGAAAATGCAGAGCTAACTAAGAAGACATGGTGTCTACTATAATAATTTCGGCTCATTAATTTGCAGAGTATTAAAAGGGAAATGAAATCAATCACTTCTCCAATGATGTCATCAAAGAGAACTTAAAAAACTTCAAAGTTCACTTATTTGCATTTCAAGATTTGAGCCTTTTTAAAGTAAGTGGGCATATTATTAAATACATTAGGTTAACCTATGTCACGGGTCCCATTTAAGTGAATCCTGAAGGAACATTTGTTCTGTAAGAAGCTACTTATGGAAGTTTAATAACTCTTCAAAGAATGTCCCCTCTGAGATTTAGTTTCTTCATCTGCAAAAAAACAGAGTTAGACTAGATGACTCTTCCAACTCTAAAGCTATGATCCTATGGTTACAACTATCTGCTTTCCTTAATCCCTCTCACCAAATTGGAATGATGTAACAGTAAGACAGTGCAACAGTAAGCATTTATCAAATACTTACTATGTGTGGGGCACTCTGACAGCTGATGGGCACACAAAGATATAGAAAGAGGGATGTTGGAGTGTGTCTACAGGAGGAAGATGAAAAAGATTTCTGACTGTCATCTTCCAAATATCTGAAAGCCTTTCATGTGGAATGGAGCTACCCATATTGTATGGGGTAGTCCTTGCTCTTAAAGAGCTTAGTTGTGCAGGTGGGGGCACAGCATTTATAAAGAAAAGCAAATATAGGACAATTTAAGGAAGCAGAAAATGCTAAACAACTAAGGGGATCAGAAAAGATTTCCTATAGAAAGTGGCATTTGGAAGAAAGTTAAGGATTCTAACAAGCAGAGGTGAAGAAGTGCTTTTCAAGCATACAAGATATCCTGTGTCAAAGTATGGAGGCTAGAAGTGGAATGTCTGGATGAATTTGGAGAACAGCTACCTACACAGAGCTCCCATTTATCTGCAATTTTTGAATGTAAAAGCAAAGCAGGCCCAGGGTCCACAAGTTGAGGTGGGACTGGTACACAGGCAAGGCCTGGAACAGGAGGCACAGACTTAATGAAACATCCACTTTACTATATTCAAGGAATTACCATTCTATAAGTAAACACAGGATGAAGACACTGCATTGACCTATCACTAGTACTCTGGACTCCAGAAAAAGTTGTGATATATTCCCCCAAAGAACCCATATTTCACATATGTGGGTCATGCATGATCCAGATGTGATAATGTATTAAAGTATAAATGAACATGAAAACTTTTCATATAATACACTCATTCAAACAGAAAGTATAAAACTTATTCACCATTCACTTGATAAGACTTTGACTTATCTTCTGTCAAATCCTACTTTTTATTAGTAAAAAATGCAATTCCAGTTGTCTTTCTAAACAAAGATTTCAGACACCATTTACTTAGCTTAAAGGATAAATTTTTAAAACATTAAACTTCAAAGCACTAAAACTTTACATTCAGAATTAAATGCACTGAAATTGGTTAAATTTCAATATGTGGGGAGAAGTGTAAAAATCCCCATTCAATATTTTTGTACTCATTGGAATTTTAAAGCCAGATCTGTTTTTCTGGAAATTTTATGTAATTTGAACAAAAATGTTACAAAAAACTGCTTTATGCAATTTATCTAACTAAAATGACCCTGTCAGTTTCTTAAAGTCTAAGCAACATATTCCCTCAGATCTCATTTGATTGTCAGCAAAGGTCGATTACTTAAATCAGCATCAAATTATATTGTCATCTCTCTAACATATGTAAAGATATTTTAAGTAAGAATATTAATATAGTTAAATAACTAGAAAAAGTATGATGGACATGAAAGCATCAGGTATCCAAAATAGCAAAATGGAGCTACTAAATTTTAATTTAAAAGTGTTACTGAAACCAAGTTTGGGGTAATTAGAAGCTAGGGTTTTCTTCTCATACAATTATTTAAATTATGTTTTTCCCCTCAAATGGGAATAAACAGTATTATTTTCACACTAGAACATATAATCACTCTCCCTGGATGATTGGGAGCAAGAAGCCCTAGAATCAGCCCTATAGTTAGTTGCCTATTTATTCATTCTTTATCTACTTAAGAGATTGAGTCTGTTTAAATATCTCAATTTTTAAATAGGTAATGAAAATACAAGATTTTGAAACGAAGGAGGTTCTAGGGTTAACAAATGACACTACCTCTCTAAATCTAAGCTCCTCAAGGATCCCAGAGGCCTTGTTTTCTATGTTTCTATGCATTCGATTGGACACTTCATGAACGCTGGCTGAGTTCAGAACTCAGTGGGTTCTGATCTTTCTCTACAGGAATTAGTGGGGAGGGAAGGAAAAGACCCCAAGATAACTTCAACGTAGCTAAACGGGGTTCTAATACAAGTCACTTTTTAACAGTAGTTTTCCTCTATTGAAAACCTATAGTGAAGCACCTAACAGGGACAGGGTGCAGATCAATTGCTTAAAGGGGTAGAGGGGTGTTTCCACCAAGTATTCTAGGAGAGTCCAGGAAGGAAAGCAGCACTTGAGAAGGGCAGCCTGGTCCAGCCCAGCGTCCACCCGCTCCCGTCTTCCTGGTCCACGTAATACTCGGCGGGGGAAGGGGCCTGCAGAATGAAGGGGACAAGGGAGGTACGGAGGCAGGCCCAGCCTGCCCTCCGCACCCTCGGGCAGGGGCACAAGCCCCTAGTCTGGGCGCCCGCACGCCCGCAGAATCCCGGCGGGATTGAAGCCGGGGAGTCGCAGCTGGCCCGGCGTCCGGCCGGCAGCGGGGCCCTCAGGGAGTTCCCTTAGGTCTGCCGGAAGGCCGGGCCCTGCACCGGCCGAGGAGACACTGTGCCCGCGGGGCCCCGTGAGGAGGGCCGGGCCCGGGGTGCACGGACTGAGGCGGGGCCGGCCCACAGGCAAGGCCGGCCGGCTGGCCCGGGAGAGGGGCCGCCGGCCTCCCGGGGGGTCGGATTCGGGGCCCAGCTCGGATCTTACCATGATGAGAGCGGTGGTGCGGCGAACCCGCGCTCCGGCTCCACTGAGCAGAAGGGTAAGGGACCCGGGCGGGGAGGACCGGCCACTCTGGACCTGCCGCTCCCCTGACGGGAGCCGCCACTGCTTCGCTTCTTGCCAAGATGGCGGCCCCGAGCCACGTCTCCAAACGGAAACGGCGCGGGTTAAAGGGCAGGGGGCGGGATCAATGGGGGCACCAGTACCCGCCCACCCAGTCTAGACCCGTTTGATCTCACACCTCCCCGCTGCCTTCAAACCTTGAGTAAAACACGCCCTTTCTCTCCCTCCCCTTCGTTGAGCAGATGGTCCCACTTGCCCACTTACTCTGTGGCCCTTTACTATTACACGTTGTTCTGCTCACCACTTTATTTCACCCCCTGCTTCAGCTCCATCTGTGATTCAATTCAGTTCTATTTAATTTATTTCAACAAATATTTATTAAATACCCATTGTGTGTGTTCAAGGTACCATAAGACAAACGAAGCAGTCTCTGCAGTCGAGGAAGCAGCGAAAGACCCATGTTAAGCAGTTATATTCTGCCTATGACTTTAGAGAACTGATGCATAGTGAGGTGAGCAGTACCAGGAGAACAATTTATACATAACAACCATATTGTAAAGACAAACAACTTTGAAAGTGCTTAGCACAGTGCCTGGCACTTAATAAATGTTTATTGTTATAAAAGACTTGGGAATTCTGATCAACAAAATGACCAACCATAATTCAGAGGTCTTACGTTGAAACATGCTACCCACCTCCCGAAAGAGATGTGGACTCAGTGCATTTTGAAATTCACACACACACATATGACACAGCCAATGTAGGAATTTATTTTGCTTGATTATCCGTGTTTGTAACAGGAGTTTCATTTTTTCTTACTTTGGGAAGGGAGAGAGAAAAGGTGGATCTTTGTTTTAAAATAAAATTAATTTTTCTTAAAAGGACTTTATTTAGAAAGCCAGCATATTTTAACATTTTCATAGGACTGGGGACTGGCAAGCAGCTTCATCTGGAGCCCAAACAAAGAATTACTTGTGCTGTTATTTGGTGACCGCCACTCATTTTACTACTTAAGGCTTTCAGGGAAGTCATCTGCCAATCTCAGCTGCAAAAGAAAGAGAATATATTCTGGTGCATACATCTTGGAGGGGCAAGATCCGGCACAACTGACACGTCCAGGGAAAGTGCCTACAGGACCATTATCATCCGGCCTGGAAGAAGGAATGTTCCTGATACCCCAATTTTTCAGCTACTTCCTTACTTCCCTTAGGAGATTTTTCTGGGTCAAAATCTTTTTCTATTTTCTTTCTCCTTCTTTCTCTGTCTTCCAAAGTTTAGCAGATCCGAGTGGTCTGGAACTTGCCTTTCGTTCATTCTTCCCTGAAGGATCTGCATATCTATTTTTAAAAATCTGATTGACCTGGGAGAAGTTGCACAACCAGCGATCCCTCATGGGAAACCCTGTAAACGGCATTCACAGGTTGGTCTCTGGCCAAAGCGACATTGCCCGAAGTTGGCCGCTAGATGCCACCATACACGCATTTCCCAAAATCGCCGGTGCGCGGGACTGGCTGCCCAGATGGGCTACGACCCCTCTAGGCTCTCCTAGCCGCCCGGAGAAAGCCTCTGACTGGCTGGGGAGTGGGGGGAACCCTAAGGAGGCTTGGCCAGAGTTGTCACGAGGTCAAACGGGAAGGCGAGGAGATCTCGCGATGGCTCCCCTGTCTTAGAGACTGTCAACACGCCCGCTGGTCGGGTTGGAGGCTCTTACAGTCGTTAGGCCTGAGGTGGGGGTGAATCCGGCGCTCTTGGCCCCCAAGTCCTTTCCAAATGGAGGAGACGGATTCAGAAGGACTGCAGGTAACCCATCCAGCCCGGAGAGGCTAGAGAGAGCCCTCCCGCCCTCCAAGCTGGACAACCCGGAGGACTCCGTGTCTCTATGGCAACCCCTACGGTCTCCATGGCAACAGAGGGCCAGCCCCCCCCTCGGTGTTTCGGGAGAGACGCGTCCTACCTGGGGAGGGGGATGCATGTAGGAGTCCAGGATGGGCATGAGGGAATGGGATTCTTCCTCCCTCTGGGGCTCCAACAGGAGACTTCTGGGCTAGGAACCCCGTCAGCCTTGAGAAACTCCCAACAGCCATGGGGGGTCAAACTGAGCCAGAGGACATCTCTATGGAAACCCTTGGGCTGGGATGACCGTATCTTACAGGTTTCTGAAGCGACATTGCTAGTATAGGTGGTCATTTTACCTCTCCCCTCAAGCTTCCTCCCTCCTCCTCCTCCTCCTCCTCTAGCTAACCCCAGAACCGTTCCCTGGGTGGGCTGCCTCACACCATCGCACTGCTTACTTGTAGCGCAGGGGGAGGGGAGGTGAACTTAAGTGGAGAGTTTTACAACTGTTGGCTTGGGTATGGGAGAGGAGCTGTGCTTTTTAGGGGAAATGTAAATTTTGGCAGGCTTATCACTATGACCCACATAATCATTTCTCTTTTTGCACAGACCAAGGTCGTTGAAAACCAGCCATATGATGAAAGTCTAGAGATTAATGACTCTGAAGAGGTTGCCAGCATTTATACTCCAACCCCCCGGCACCAGGGTAAGACAAGAATGATTCCTCTCTAATTGGAGAACAGGTGGATTCATGGGCATGCTCCAAACAGTTAACTTTTTTGAACTTAGAACTCGGTAACATTAAGGCCAGTTATTTCACATCTCAGCATCTTATTTTTCTCACTAGCAAAGTAAGAGAGGAAACTAATCCTCCCTATTCCACTTCATCTTAAATACTGATGCCAGATTGTTTCGTTTAACTCCTTTAGCTGCTTTGGTGCTCCTGTGGCACATCTAAAACACTGCTCAGCCTTATTTGTAATTTAATTTTTTTTTTTCGATCAACAAGAATTTATTTTCTCTGTCTCACACCTTTCTCCCCCACTGGAAAAGAAAAAAAGGAAAGACAATCTGCTTATAATAAATATAAATAAATAAATATAATAAATAATAAATCAAGCAAAACAAATTCTCATATTGGTGGTATCCAAAAATATATCTTATTTTACATGGGTAGTTATCATCTGTCTCTTAGGAGGTAAGTAGCATTCCTCATCATGAGTCCTCTGGAATTAAGATTAATTGATTAGATCTTTTTTTAAATTTAATTATTTATTTTTAGTTTTGAACATTCACTTCCACAGAATTTTGAGTTCCAAATTTTCTTCCCACCTGTTTCCTCCCCTACCCCAAGACAATGTGCATTCTGAATACCTCTTTCCCCAATCTGCCCTCCCTTCCGTCATCCCCTCCGTTCTTTTATCCCCTTCCCCTTCTATTTTCCTGTAGGGCAGGATAGATTTCTATACCCCTTTGCCTGTATATCTTATTTCCCAGTTGCATGTAAAAACAATTTTTAATGTGCATTTTTAAAACTTTGAGTTCCAAATTCTCTCCTTTCCCTCCCCACCCACCTTCATTGAGAAGGTAAGCAATTCAGTATTGGTTATACATGTGTAGTCATGCAAAATACTTCCATAGTAATAATGTTGTGAAAGACTAACTATATTTTTCTTCATCCTATCCTCCCCCTTCTCTGCAGTTTATTCTGTTATCTCCTTTGACCCTGTCCCTCTTCAAAAGTGTTTGCTTCTGATTACCTCCTCCCCCAATCTGCCCTCCTCTCTGTTATCCCCCCCCTCTTATCCCCTTCCCCCCTATTTTCCTGTAGGGTAAGTTAGATTTCCATACCCAATTGAGCATGTATGTAATTCCCTCCTTAAGCCAAATCCAATGAAAGATTCACTCACTTCCCCTCACCTCCCCTCTCTCTCTTCCACTGTAAAAGCTTTTTTCTTGCCTCTTTTATGTCAGATATTTTATCCCATTTACTCTTCCTTTCTCCTTCTCCCAGTACAATCCTCTGTCACCCCTTAATTTTATTTTTTAGATATCATCTCTTCATATTCAA